TAACACCGTCTTCCACGACTCAGAAGTCAGCCACCGACATGATGACAGCAGCCGCGTGTTTTGTGAAGCCTTTCAGCCAGGCTGTGCTTGAGCACTTCTGAGCTTTGGAAAAGCTGAAATCTTAAGGGTTTTTTCCCCTTTTCCATTAGAATCCTGTTCCAGTCGCTACTGCACATCACGGAAAATCAGTAATGAATCGGGCCCCAGGCCTCAGTCACCTGTGAAACACCACCTTGCTTCTCTCTTGACAGGAGTCTGACAGAGGCCCCTTCCACCTCTGACTCACAGCCTTCGAACTCACGTTAGCTTTCAAGGAAAGCTTCCTTTATAAACTTCTGATTCACTGACATTTAAGTCACTGAGGTGTAAGGAGAGATGTGCTGTGAGTAAGGAGTTTCTTGAGAGTTTTCAATAGACTTTCTGGGGACTAGGAAATTATGGCTTCTAGAATGGTAATGGATATGAATCCCAAGTAACTGAAAGTCAGCCTGCAGAGGCTGAAGCAGCTTAAAATTCAGTGTTTGTCATGAAGGAACAAAAAAATCAATGAATCCAGAGTGAGGGTCTCTGGGTTCTAGGCCTGGCTCTGCTGCCAACGGAGCTGTGACCTCAGGCCTCAGTTTCCTCTCTAGCTCAGTGAGGAAGCTGGATGTGAGCTCTAAGGATTGGAATTTGCAGATCCTCGTTCTGCTGTAAGTCCCCTGTCCATCCCTTCCTCCTCCTCACGTCTCGGACAGCCGGGGCCACTACAGTCGCTTACAGCTCTGAGCCACCAAGTGCCTCTAGAGACCTAGTTAACTCTGCTGTAGAGAGTCGCTCCCCCACCCCCAGTCACCATCACTGCTGCTTCACTGTGTCGGGTCTTTGTGACGTGGCCAGCACCGTACTCAGGTGAGAGTGCTGAGGAGCCTTTGGAGCGAAACTCCTGGAAAGAGTTGCCTGTGCCTGTTCTCCCAGGCTATCTAAAACCCGCTCCAGCCCAGCTTTGTCCTGCCATGCCAGCAAAATCACTCTTGTAAGGGTCACCAGTGCCCCTCGTGTTGCTGAATCAGTGCCCAGTCCTCATCCCACTTGCTCCTTTAACACCTGAAGGCACAGATCGCTCAGCTTCCTTCCCGTACTTTGCTCACTTGGCTTGAGGACTCCAGCCTCTTTTGGTTTCCTTTCCATCCTGCTTGTTGCTTCTTCTCTGTCTCCCTTACTTGTTCCCCTGCATCTCTGTGATGTAATGTCCACAGTGTGACGTTGGAGCCCCCAGAGTTCCATCCTCGGTCCTCTTCTCTTCCATGTCTGCATCACTCCCTCGATGATCCACTCCAGCACCACTGTTGTCAATTCCCAAATTTATGTCTCTTGTCCGGTCCCCTCCCTGCCCTTCAGCCTGGAATTTCCAACTGCCTTGGATCTATCTCTAAAGGACATCTCCTTGGATATCTCATGGAATTCAAAATCAAACCCAAACCTGAATCTACATCTTCTCTCTCACACCACTTTCCCCATCTCAGTTGGCGCTAAGTCCATCCTTCCAGTTGCTCTGGCCAATGTCTAGTATTCACCCTTGACTCCTGTCTCTTACAACCCATTCCAGCCTGTTGGCTCTGCCTTCCTAATCCACCCGGAATTTGGACGCTTCTCCCCAGCCCCACCGCTACCATCTACCTTCTCTTCCCTGGATTACTGCAAGAGCCTCGCTGCTCTCCCTGCTTCCGTCCTGCCCCTGTAGTCTGTTCTCCACATGGCAGCCTGAGACAGCCTGTAAAGCCAGAAGTCAGGTCAGCCCCAGTCCTCCAGTGTGCCCATCTCACTCAGAGCACAGCCCAACGTCTCTGGCTTGCTCTCCTACTTCCCAACCCTCCCTCCCTCACTCTGTGCCAGCCACACAATCTCCCTGAATATATTTAGGAATTTTTCAGCACTTCTTCCGTGTGCCTGGCAGGTTCTCCCTGAAAATGTCTGTATCGCTCACTCCCTCAGCCCCTTGAAGTCTTTGCTTAGATGTCACCTCTCAGTGCGGCCTCCTCATCCACTTAATTGCATACTGGAGCAGCCCAGCCCCTGCCCCAGCATTCCCTAACCTTCTTACCTCGTTGTGCTCTTATTTAAATCCATGCATCATTTTTTTTTTGTCAGTTACAATGTGTCAGTTTCTGGCATACAGCATAATGTTTCAGTCATACATATGCATACATATATATTCATTTTCATTCTTTTTCATTATAGGTTACTACAAGATATTGAATATAGTTCCCTGTGCTATACAGAAGAAATTTGGCTTTTATCTATTTTATATATAGTAGTTAATATTTGCGAATCTTGAACTCCCAGTTTATCCCTTCCCACCCCTTTTCCCCCTGATAGCCATACATTTGTTTACTATGTCTGTGAGTCTGTTTCTGTTTTGTAGATAAGTCCATTAGTGTCTTCTTTTTTCTTTCTTTCTTTCTTTTTTTTTTTAGATTCCACATATGAGTGATATCATATGGCATTTTTTTTCTCCTTCTGGCTTACTTCACTTAGAATGACGATCTCCAGGTCTATCCATGGTGCTGCAAAACCCATGCATTTTATCGCCTTCTAATATGCTCTGTAACTTATCTATTATGTTTGTGGTTTACGGTCTGCTGTCCCTCATCAGAAGGCAAGCCCCTCAGACGCAGGAGTTTCGTCTGTTTTGTTCACTGTTGTGTCCCAAGCACTTAGCATGGTGCATGGCACATAAGTAGGCGCTCAGTGAATACATATTGAACGGATTTATTAGTGAAGTCAGAATTCATAACGAACTCATCTCCCTCCCAAAGCAGTGCTCTGAAGCATTACACACCAGGAAAGCTGGGGTTCTGCAGCGACAAGCTCTCCAAGTGTCTCCTGCCCTTCTCCTCCCAGCTCCCCATCCGCCCTCCTACATGTCCCACAGTGTCCTAGGCCCATCAGTCCGGTATGTGTATGTCCCCACACACCCCCACCCCGCACTCACACACTCCTCCACCATGTGCTGTCGCACCAGCACTCCCACCCCTAAGTGGTCAATAGAGACGGTCACCCCGTCAGGAAGAAGGTAGAGGGTCCACCCCCTCCCACGACCCCCTCTGAACTAGTTTCAGTCTCCGTTTCTCGGAGGAGCCCTCCCTTCCACAGCCCTGTGGGGACGGCCCTCTGCATACTCCTGGACTTCAACACTCAGCTTCAGGGCAGCCAGCTATTCCCGAACAGGGTCGCCCCCGTCAGGAGGGGAAAACGTAACAGAAGAGACAACCATCACACAGAGGCTCAGCACCGTCGGAAGTGCTTCCAAGCACACTTGTTCACTCACAGTGATGGGAGGCAGGAATCTCTTGCTTCATTTTGGTTACTCTTGAACATGAAAGGGGGACATATCTTGGTCAAGGCCATAAGGAGACCAAGGCTGGGCCTCGAATGTCTTTTGTCCTGCAAACCTGAGTAGGGTTCCATTTTGTGACAGCAGATCTGTGGGCTCCCACCATCCTGAGGAGATTGATGGAGGGAAGGGAATGAAATATAAAGCAGCAGAGGCCCCAGGGTCCACCTCAAAACAGGAAGAGTGGAGGTCTGAGCTTTCGGGGGACACACCCACCTCACTGCTGATCCCCTGGGGATGCTCTGGGCCCTTGACTGTGGATGTAGCCTCTGGCTCAGCCCTGATTCAAGAAACCACAGTGGAGAGTCAGAATTCACCTTCTACCAGGACCCCAGCACCTGAAGACTTATCTGCTGGTTAGTGTGCTGGGATCTGAACCCGCCTTGAATCTGCTCTAGGTTTCCATGGTGATTGCTTCAACTTTTCATCATCCTTCTGTCAGACCTAAGGGGAGAGCAATGCTCTCTGGTTTCCATGGCAACCACTTAAACATGTATCTCTGTCTGGCTCTGGTGGAAAAGAACTGCTAGAGATCATGCAAATGAACTGGCTGCTCTCCCTCCGCTTAAAAAAATAAAAATAAAGTGACACACCTGCTCAGAGGTTTCAGATCTCTGCTCACAACAAGAGGGGTGAAAGTGTCAAACTGGTGTTCGTGGAGGGCCTGCTGCATTGCTTTGACATTTCAAGTGCTCACGCAGGTATGCAGGCGCACATTGGCGTCTGAAGTAATTATCCACACTCAGCACTCGTCCTCCCCTCCCCTCTGCCTGGCAGATGTAAGAGCTGCAGGTTCAAGGCTGTTTACCTTCCTGCTGCATGCTAAAGGAGGAAGGAAGGACAGGGCCACGGTGGCTGCCCAACCCAGCCCTTGGCCACCGTGGGCAGGAGGCACAGAGAGCAGGGTCATCACCTCAACTCGCTGTCCATAAACCAGCCACGGGTGGCTGCTGCCTCGGATTACAGCCCCAAATAACGACGCAATCACAGGGCCCAACTGTTTGGAAATGACTCTGCTTCTCAACTGGAATTCACCGAGCGGAGAACACCCGCACAGCTCTGAAGGAAGGAGCTCAGAAGTGGGAAGATGAGGGCTCCCTTCCCACATCCCGGACAACTGCCTGTCCTCTACCGTATGACCCACCCCTAAACCAGACCCCACAAGAGGCGGCATCGCATCCGGCCAAGCAGCCACAGACAGATTTGCAGCTGTTTTGAAACTAAGTACCAACACGTAAAGTTCTGGCAATTTCCAGTGAAAAATGGAGACTTCCCACTTCTTTGGGAAATTCGGCAGGTCTGCCTCAGTCTGACCGCCGAGGGTCCGCTGGATTGCAGTAGCACCAGCCTCAGGAGGTGAAGCCTGGGCTTCTCTGCTCCCCCAGTCCTGGGAAAGAGCTGGACCTTAACTCGTGCTAACAGGCCCAAGACCCAGATCAAACCGCTCACCCTTCAGCTGATGGCTGAAGTCACAAGCAATGAAAGAGGATTCTTCTCTGGGGTTCGGGGGTCGGGTGGGTGTGGGGGACTGAAGACAAATGTTCTCCCACCTTCTTCCTCCAAGGTCCTTTAGTCACCTTTAACTAGGCCGGAGGTCAGGGGAAAGCAGGTGGGTGGTTGGGAGATGCACTCACGTGAGTGTATTTCAAATTTCTTCCACCATCTTCTGATAAGAATAACGTCTCCAGCCTACAGGAAGGCCCCCGATTTCTTCTGTGTGATACTTCCGTGTGATGCTACCATTTTATCCTACTGCTTAGTAGACTCATAAGCCCAGAAGTCATTTGAATGAAAATATCTGTCACAGTAATTGCAGGATGAAATTGGCTGGGTAGTTGATGAAGCCAATAGGCCCCAGTTTATGTGCCAGACAGTCCCGGACTTGGCGCCACCGTTGCCTTGATGACAAGTTTTTATCCTCCTAAGTGTAAGTTTTCTTACCTATGAGCAGGAGGTGAAGGTGTCTGCCCACTGAGTTTCTGTGAGGCTTGAACAAGATGGTGTGTGGAGAGGCTCTGGCACTTGGTAGGGATGTCATAGAAGTCCATCTGCTCAGAATGAGATGGTCTTTTCGTGTTTCCTCTCTTCGCCTGGTGGCCCTTCTTGTTCTTTTCTAGAGGAGGCATGGGGGAACCTCGTTTTCTGTACAGCAGTACTTTCATTCTTCAGACTGTACAGTTTAACACCTGGGGGTGAAAAAGAAGAAAACCCCAGTCCTCGTTGAAACTGAGCCTGAGTCCTTTAAAAATTAGTAACTTCTCAGAAAATTAACTGATCATGTTAAGAAGCTGTGTTTTGCTTTTCTGTGAATATTTTAGGGTGCACTATGGGAACAACAAATGTCAAGCGAAAGAAGAAAGAGATAAGGATGTTAGAAAAGATGTCAAGACAAGAAAAGGCCAGGCGCTCCTCAGTTTGCCCCAAAGACGAGCAGAATGTGATCAAACAGTTTTTAACGTCTATAAGGGAGTCAAGGCATTTTCGTTCTGTACGAGAAAGAACTTGCTGCTGACAGGTGGAATGGATCGAATAATTAGCATCTGGAATCCTTATCTGCCTGGGTAAGCTTTTTGTTATTATTATTATTACTGAAGCAGAGTCAATTACAATGCGTCAGTTTCTGGTGTACAGTGCAATGTCCTTTCTCTCTCCAACCAAAAGAGCCCTTGATCTAGCAAGTACATGACAGCAGGACAAGGAATCACTAATTCCCCTTTAGAATAACTTAAGAACACTTATCCAGAGTTGCCCTCCCTTACACACAGCCTGGGGGACTTCTGTCTGCGGCTACTGAAGAGTCATTCTTTGGGGTTAATCACCTAAAATGCAAATACCTTGCAGGGACCATTCACTCAGAATCGGAATGTTTTCTTTGATCAGATTGCTATGGTCCTTACAACGAACGATGACCAGTTGTAGAGAGTGTGCAGGGGTTTTGATGTGTAATCAAGGTCCTTTCTGTGTACCTCCCCGACAGCCCTGAGCTTACACACGAGCTCTCCACTAGAGTTGTTTAGCCCCATCTGAACGAATGACTCTGCCACCTCTGAAGTGTAGCAGAATTGACATAAGGAAATGGGGATTGTTCTGGAAAGCCTGGAATTGGGGTAGCAGTGTAACACCTCCCCATCAGAGGGGCAGACGGTTGCCATCACACCCTCAATGTGTAATCATCACAATCCTTAGAACTGGGCTCACGTCTTTCATGGGTGCCGCTCCAGAGCAAGTGCTCAGTAACACTTTCTGGGTAATTACAGCGGCCCTCACTTAACTGAGCATCTACTTTGTCCTGGGCACTGTGCGCCATTTGCATTCTCTCTAGTCCTCACCTCAACTCCGTTTACCAAGGGAGAACTCGAAGGTCAGAGGAGGTAAGTGACTTTTTGGAAGTAATTCCAGAATCGGGGATCGAAAGCAGCTTGGCTTCTAAAAGCCTATGTCATTTCTGTCAGTAAGTGTTGAAGAAGGAAGGAGAGCAGAAAATGGGGCGTTGATAGTAGGATTTGGGGATAAGAACGGGTCATCGAGGAAAGCCCAGATTCCTGTCTGAGCCCCTGTCCAGGCGTCAGTGAGGACCCACCAGGTGCCCCCTGCCCCTCTCAGCCGCAGCGGGCAGCCACGAGGCAGGGCTGTGTGGCAGGGAGGCACTGCGGGGCAGCTGATCCAGCGTCTGTCCCTTTCTAGCTGGGTGATTCCGAGCATGGGCTGCAGCCTCTGCTTCCTCAGCCACAGCAATGGTACCAAGAAGACCCACTCCTGGCGTGGCAATAAAGATCACAAACGAGACGGTCCACGCAGAGCACGCAGCGCAACATCAGATCCCTGGTAAGAAAGAAACATGATTTTTCTCTCTGCTTCTGTTCCCTAGACTCCCATGTGTCTGCAGATTGAGAACAATTTGCTTACTTTCCGGTGACTTGCTTATAAAAAGACTTTGTGCTCTCCCGTCAGCCTCAGCCCTGCCCCTCTTCTCCCGACCCCCCAGCCTCCCACCGCACGCCCAGCCCTGAGCCCCTCAGGGCACTGTGGTCCCTCAGAGCTCCTTAAAATAAACCCGTGTTAAAAAGACACTCGCCCCAGATCCGAATGCTGCATGGAGCTACAACCTGCATGGAATGTACCCCAACCCCAGCCTGCGCTCTTCCGTGCCTGTTCCGTCTATGGTGACTTTGTCGGCCGTGGGAGAAGCAAAGCCCCGGGCTTCACCTCACACGGAGCTGTGCTGCTAGAGCTGGGTGTTATTTGCTTCAGTCCTTTTCTCACACAAGATCTGTACTTGTTTAATTTCAGAGGGAGACATAACCCTCCCCAGGCTGAACAGAGCTGCCAGATCCGGGCCAAGTTTAGTCTCGCATTTTCATTTAGAAATCGCAGGTAGCACTGCTTGGCGTTCATCTGTTCTTCGTTCCATCCTAGAAAACCAACAGGTGTGCTGAAGAGCCACACAGCTCCAGTGACCTACGTCCATGTGTCTCCTGAGGATAACAAAATATTTTCCACGTCCACCAACAGCACGATTAACGTCTTTGCCCTCTTCTGTTTTGATGTGTTATCCAATATGGTTTCAGACAGAGAAGGTGTCATGTTTCATGTTCATGCTTTCATTCCTCTCTCCGTAGACTTCAGGGCTCTGAGTTAGCGGATACTCAAATGGTGTTTATGTTGGGGGTTTGCTTTGAAAAGGGAGACAATGTTGGCAGTGGAGGGGAGCCTCTTAGAGAACTTTCTTTACCTGGTGTTTTATTGGGATGAATAAACATTACAGCCTCTAGGCCCCTGCTTGCGTTCTGTCCAAAGATTCCCTGTGAGGGTGTTGATCGGAGGATGGAGAAGGGGAGCCGGGGACAGAAAGTGGACAGAGGAGGCAGCGGTCCCTCGCCACGATAGGTTATCATCTTATCTTGCGGTACCCGTAGGGCCAGTAGGCCCTTTCTGAAATGTTGTCTGTAAATCTTAGAAGTTAAACATTTCTGGCACTGGTAGCGACATCACCACCTTCATTTTGTTTGCCTTCACAGAGGCAAACACCCTGTGATCAGTCACTTTGTGGCCTTTGTAAGACACTATTTTTTATACAAAAAAAAAATCACTAACTTGTTTCATCCATCATCTCATATACCTTTCCAATGAATAAGACAAATTTGCATGATTCATCCACCTTCTTTTCAAGACTGTCACAGGGCCAGAGGGTGGGAGTTTAGAGCAGTGTGAGTCAAAGGAATGCTGGACCCTCAGGAAGGAGGTCAGATTCACTGCCCTGTACAGACACAGAAATCAGTCCACTGACTCCTCACATAGTAAATGATTGACAGATGATAAGGGCTAAATTGTGTCCCCTCAAAAGTCATATGTCAAAGCCTTAACCCCCAGCACCTTAGAATGTGACTGTATTTGGAGATGGGGCCTATACGGAAGCAATGAAGGTTAAATGAGGTCATGTTGGCAGGCCCTAATCCAACAGGACTGGTGTCCTTATAAGAGGAGGAAATCAGGACACTTGGACCTAAAGGCAACCATGCAAAGACACTGCAAGGAAGTGGTCATCTGCAAGCCAAGAGGGAGGCCTCGGAAGAAACCAAACCTGTCTACACCTTGATTTTGAACTTGAGTCCCTTACTTCACACCACATACAAAAGGTAACTCAAAATGGATCGTAGACTAAATGTAAAAAGAGCCACATCTACAAAATTCTTAGGAGAAAACAGGAATAAATCTTCATGACCTTGGACTAGGCAGTGACTTCTTAGCTATGACATCAAAAGTACAAGAGACAAGAGGGAAAAAACAAGTTGTACTTCATCAAAAATAAAAACTTGTGCTTCAAAGGACACTATTAAGAAAGTGATTAGACAATCTACATAATGCGATAAAACATTTGCAAATCACATGTCTGATGAGGGATTTGTATCTAGAATACAAAGAACTCAATGTTCAGCAAAAAAACACAAATAGCTTAATTTTTAAATCAGCAAAGAACTTGGACAGAAATTTCTTCAAAGAAAATATTCAAATGGCCTGGCCAAAAACACAGGACAAGATGCTCAACATCATTAGTCATTATGAAAGTACAAACTAAAACCACAAATGAAACACCGCTTCACACCCGTTAGGGTGGCTAAAATCAAAAGATAGATGATAACAAGTATTGACAAGGGTGTGGAGAAACTGGAGCCTTCATGTATTGCTGGTAGGAATTTAAAATGGTACAGCCACTTTGGAAAATATTTTGGCAGTTTCTCAAGTAGAGTTAACATATGACCTAGCAACTCTGCTCCTAGGTTTGCACCCCAGAGAACTGAAAACATCTGTTCACACAAACACTTGCATATGAATATTTATAGCAGCGCTATTCGTGATAGCCAACACATAGAAATAAACCAAATGTCTGTGAACTGAGGAATGGATAAACAAAATCTGGTATATCCACACAATGAAATATTATTCAGCAACGAAAAGAAATGAAGCACCAACACATGCTACAACTTGAAAAAGTTTGAGCAGCTTTAATTGTTAAGTGTGAAAGCCAATTACAAAAGGCCAAGTATTGTATGATTCTATTTATATAAAACGTTCAGATTAAACAAATACACAGAGACAGAAATGAGTTTAGTACTTGCCAGGGGGTGGGGAGAAGTGGGACTAGGGAGTGGCTACTGATGGTATGGAGTTTCTTTTTGGAGTAATTACAATTTTTTGAAAATAGATAGTGGTGATGATGGTACAACTCTGTGACTACGCTAAAAACCACTGAATTGTAGACTTTAAGAAGGCAAATTTTGTAGTGGATTAAATGTCAATAAAATTGTTACTTTTTTTTAAGAGCGGAGAGAGAGGCCAAACACTGTGATGAGGAAGACGGTGGGTGAGAAGAGCGTAAGATCAGAAGCGCAGTGGTGGATGCGTCAGAGAGAGTCCTCCTGAGTTGAGGGGAGCTGTCAGGGCTGGAGGTATAAATTTGGGAATCATTAGCATTTAGATGAAATTTTAAGCCACGGAGTGGATGAGATCACAAAAGGAGCAAGAGTGGGGAAAGGAGAGGAAAGCCCCAGACTGAGCACGGGGACACGGTGATGTTCCACGATTCATTGTTTGTGGGTCCAACATGGCTCCTGTATAGTGAGCTCGCAGTCCATCTCATGGCAACGGAGAAGCTATTTTAGACAAAATTAGGTGCTGAGATCAGAGTCAGGGACACAACGGGACCCAAACTCAATTCAATCCCCCAAGAAAATGTGATTAAAATGGTGAGATTTATGGACTTCAGTTTTTGATTTATTTTGAAAATCAAATTCATCCAAATGCATCCTCCAAGGCCACAAAGTTGGAGATTTCATATTTTTAATGCACTTTTTTTTTCAAAACTTGCCACCCTCAGATAATCATAATTCTGTATGTGAGGACACATCTTCTATCCTATTTTATTTTCCTAGTGCCTCTCCATTTTCTTCCACTCTAAACTCATGATTACAAGATTAGCATCTTGCCTGTGATGATTCAGGCATATTGAATCACTTCCCGAAGTGTGTTTAAAATATATTGAAATCCTATCTTGGAAATATGGCATAATTTATTTCAGAATATATTATTCCTATCAAATAAAAACTAATCAACTAGGAGCCAAACAGCTAAATTTCTAGCATGCCTGATCACATAGTCCTCTTTCTTTGAAGTGATTTTTTTAGCCCAAATAGTTCACGTCTCTAAATCATGGGGACACACGAAACGTTTCAGGAGTCTGCTGATTTCTGGCATTCTCTAGAGAAGAGTGAAGTGACAGATTCAGATTTCCATTTTCACTTGTTAGTTTCTGTGAATTTAATATTGGCCACCACAAAGACAGCTGTTTTGTGTCAACAGGAATTAGGATGGAAAGAAAGTTATTTCTTGGAAGGAAGATAGCATGGCTGTTAGTTAAGGTAAGGCTTGCCACTGTAACAGATAAATCCCATATTTTCCATCGATTGAAACAAGAGAAAGTTATTTCTGTCTACTGTAAGAATCCAGCATTTATGAGCCATTTATGCAATCTTCCTTGCTAATGCCGGTGCTCCTGGGGAGGGGCACCTTTTCTCCTTCAAGAACAGGACTGTCTCCATATGAGTTCCCACCTTGCTTAGGTTCTCAGATTCCTCTCAATCTAGGAACAAGTGTGAGAATAGAGAAGGCATATCTGTCTCTTTAAAAATCCCAGCCATAAATGACACATTATGTTCTCTCACATTCTACTGCTTTGTGCATGACTCTGGGTGAGAGGGGAACTGGGAAATGCCTTAGTCCAGTAGCTGCTCCCCAGTAACTTTACGCTGTGGACAGGAAGATTTGGAGGAGGTGCAGACAGAATGCCTTGGAAACAGGCAGGCTTGGGTTTAAGCTCTGAATCTACCACAAATTAGGCGACCTTGGGTGAAGTCATCAATCCTTCTGAAGTAAGTTACCTAATTCTTTTGCACGTTGGTTTACTCTTCTGCAAAATGGGAGGGAGGGCCACCTTGTGGGTTAGTTGTGTTCATAAAAGGTCGTGTATGAACTGTGCTCGCTACAGAGTAGTTTTACCAGGTGAGACTCTTTTGAGCCAAAGAGACAAAAATCTAACTCAAATAGTTGAAGCCGAAAAGGGAGAATTTGAAGGACTCAGTGCACTACTGCTGGTTTAAAGACAGAGGGGAAACAGGACGAGGAGCGGAGGTGCCTAAGGAGCTGAGAGAGGCTCCTGGCCAAGAGCCAGTGAAGAGACAGGACCCCACCCCTCCAAACACAAGCGAGAAGGTTCAAGATGGCAGCGCAGGAAGATCCTGAACTGACCTCCTCCCTTGGACACAAATCTACAGCTACAAATGGAATAATTTCCTCAGTAAGAGATCTGAAAACTGGATAAACAGAGCATCCACAACAACAGGTAAAAAGACAGCGTTGAGATGTGCAGGAGTGTCAGAGACAGAGGCTCCCAAGAAAAGACTGCCCCCTGTGCACAACTGGGAGGGACCGCAACAGGACAGATCTTCCCCTGAGGAGTGAGGGGTGTGAGCTCCACATCAGGCACCCAACCCCTAGATCCTACGCAGAAGAAATAAGCCCCCAAATCACCTGGCTGTGAAAACCAGTGGGGAATGTGCCCGGAAAAAACTACAGACTGCAGGGAACAAAAACTCCTGCTCTTAAAAGGCTGATGTGCGGACTCACCCAACCTGAAAACCAGCGCAAAAACACCAGTTGATCAGTGTATGTTTCATAGGTGGAGAGTACCCATTTACTAGTCTTCAAGTGTCTGCTGGAGAAGCAGGAGCCAGCTGGGATACTTCCTGGGCACTGAGTCGCTGACAGGAGCCATTCATGCGCTCTGTCTTCCTTGCTAATGCCGGTGCTGGTGGGCACCGTTTTGGAATTCTCCATCTAAGCTGTTGGCACCAGTGGGCAAGCCCCACTGACAGCCCCGTCCACCCCACACCCTGGCAGGGTCCCACAGCCAGGGAAACAATAGCCTGGCTCACCAGCTCCCCAAGGCAGCCACAGCCCCGCCACAGCCGGAGGGCACGTGCAGCCCACATAGGGCACACCCCTTGAACCCCTGGCTCTGGTGGCCAGGCAGGCTTGCTCTTCTGAGCCCCAGAGGACATCTCTTAAATAAGGCCATTCCTTCAAGACTGGAGACATAGCTGATCTACATAATACATAGTAACAAACACAGAGAAGCAGGCAAAATGCAGCCACTCCTTGCAATTCTCATCAGATCACAGAACCTTAAGATCCCACATGAACCACAGCATGACTTGGTGCCAATCAAAATCAATGATTAACAATAATATTATCATTCTAACTATATTATACCATTTTCTAGCCACTATCATAAACACTCTTTATTAAAATTTTAAATTCCTTAAAACAACTCTATAAGGTAAGTACTGTTCTTATTCTCCCCATTTTACAGATGAAGAAACTGAGGGAAAGTGAGTATAGTAATTTGCCCAAGGCCACACAGCTGTAAGGCAGTGAAGCTGGGATTCCTGGCCAGGGGTTTGGGACCTCCATGCTCTCAACCAATAGCCACTCCTGAGGTTTGTCCCCTGTGTCCTCCAAGTGTCTCTTCTGTGGCTGGTTTTGAGGACCTGTCATAAGAAATGGGAACGTATCTGGGGGATAGCGGTAACTCTGCACTACAGATCAGGCCCACGGTGTGAGCCCCCGCCGCGGAAGCCGGGCCCGGGGGAAGACGGGAGTTAAGCACAGCTCTGGGGTGGCTTGGCTGCAGTGCCCCCGCTGTTCGGGCAGCTTCGGCCGGGCCGAGGGGCTCAGGAACTCGGTCCCCGCGTTCTGCTTCCTTTACAAACAACAAAGGAGAAGAAGGTCCTTTTACTACTTTTCCTTTGGGTGAGGTGGGGTTGGGGCAGTGTTTAAACTCCGCTCAAGCCTAACAGACCCCACAAAAGGTGACAGCTTTGGAAACACAGAGAAGCAGGCTGTTCAAGAGCTGAGGTCACTTTTTCCTCGTTTCCTCCTCAGATCTGGGGTCTGAAGACCGCCAGCTGCCTATTTACTGCCTCCTCCAAAGCCAGCGGTATTAGGGGGAGCCTGGGGCCTGCCTCTACCGCCCCCAACCCCAGAGCCCTGTGTGTGGCCACTGACGCCATCGCTCTCCTGCACCTGCGGCTCAGGTAGGGGGCCTCTGGGCCCCGAGCGGTCAGCTCTCCAGAAGGTACTGCAGAGCCCAGTGCAGCTGCTTCCAACCTTAACGATCCGCAGCTGAGGTCTCTGTGTGAGCCCCGGGACTGTCTGCCCCACGTCCCTGGCTGGCAGTATACGTTTGGCAAGCTCTCTAACATTTCCTACTAATTACTCCTGCAGCAGCTCCCTATATCATCCAAAAGTCTGGAATCTACCTCTCGATCCCTATTCCAACCACTGGCCCTCCTCCTGTAAGAAACTGTCCAAAAAGCCCCAGGGCTGCTTATTCAGTCCTAAGGCATCAACCACTCCTGTCCCCAAAGCAGGGCAACCATTCAGGGACACGCAGGGACCCTGCCAGACGGTCACTGCAGCCAGGCCTGGAAGTCAGGCTCTTCACTCAAGATGCCAAAGCAACCAGCTGAAAAACAGGACTGCCAGTCTGTCAAACTGCTGTTTGGTCCACATGACACCACTGTATAGAACAAACAGCCTGTGCGATTGACTTTTTAGGGGAGCGAAGTGTCTGAAATTCCACCTCATGGCAGAAACAGCCTGTCTCTAGCACCAGCACGTAGGTGCCAGAGGAGGTCTTCATTCCCTGCTCTGTCACTCGGGAGCTTGTGGTCTCTATCGAGTTGCCTGATCCGGCTCAGTGTCCTGCTGGTTTCCTCATCTGTGAAGTGGGGGGACTCCGTTTTCCCTCCCGTGCTGGGAAAGGGGCGCAGGTGAAGGAAGCAGGGCCTGGCTGGAAGCCCAGCTCTCTCTCTGGGACTCTGCTCCCCACACCCTCCCCCTCCTCACACACTGACCAGACTCCACCTTCACATCCCGCCGTCCAGGGACCATCGTGGGAAAGTTCTAATCATCCTTATGCCAAATCTTGTTCTTCCTTGAAGGGGATTCACCCGCACCGAGAATCTTCTGGCGCTAAGTCGAAGGTTTCAGGTCCCCGAATCTCAGTTAGTGGCTCAGGCTTGGGGCTGACCGGGTGTGGGAACAGTAAAGAGAGCGCAGGCTGGGGACCAACATTCGTTTATTCAGTGTCCACTACGTGCCAGACTCCTCCAGACATTTTACATCCTTTCCCTCACTTCCTCCTCATAAAATGTCTATAGAAGATTCCATTTTACAGATGAGGAAATTAGTGCCAAGGGGTGGGGGCGGCTTAACTCCCAGGGCTGTCCGTTCTGTGTGCTGACCTCCCGGAGGTGGTGTAGGGGACACGGTCCATGGGCACAGGTGAGCCCTTTGCTCCTGGGTTCCCGCGGGAGGTGTGCAGCAGGGCCTCCCAGGCCCTGGCCCTGCTGTGAGGGAGCAGCTCTGCTGTTTAGGCTTGAGGATTCAGAATGGGATAACAGAGTTTGTTTCAGGGAAGATGTAAATTAATAGGGAAGAAGGTTCACTCTGCAGTGATTCTCTGGTTTCATGGTTCTCACGAAATCACACTCCGGCTGCCCCAGCAAGGACACATGTGATACCAGTTTTCGTGGTTCGTGCCACTGCTCATTTCATGCCAGTTGTGTTATGGGAGATTCTGTGCTAAGGATATTACAGTCGACCCTCCCTATCCATGTGTTCTGCTTCAGCAAATTCAACCAACCGTGGCTGGAAAAAAAAATTAATTCCAGAAGTTTCGGAAAGGCAAAAGTTGACTTTGCGACACACCAATAACTATTTACACAGCCTTTGCATTGTATTGGGTATTGTAAGTAGTCTCGAGATTACGTAAAGTGTATGAAAGGATGTGCGGAAGTTATATGCAAATACTATGCCAATTTATGTAAGAGGCTTGAGCATCCGTGGAGTTTGGTACACTTGGGGGTTCCTCGAACCAATTGCCCACAGATACCGAGGGACAGCTGTATATATGTTTTCTCTAATCCTCAAAACAACACTTTAAAGGAGATACCATTATCCCCATTTAATAGATAAGGAAGTTAGAGTTTTGAGCAGTGACTTGTTCAAGGTGACAGATCCATCAAGACTATCCTCTTAACCATTCTGTAATAAAGCACTCGATGCCTCACCCCAGATATGCGTGTTGTACACCCGGTTCAAGGTTTCATCCCCTTTCTGTTTTTCACGAGCACGATCTCCCCATGAGTCTAACCTGGTGGTTTCCCATGAAGAGCCCGTAGCGCGCTGCCAGTACAACCCCGCCTTCCAGCAGGTGGTCAGCTGCTGGGAAGAATCAGTAAGTGTCAACCCTTGGTCTCTTTGGCAATGATGCGTTATGAGTGTGGGCCCCGCTGTCCTCAGCTTGGGGCAGAGAATGTTCTGAGGACATTCTGATCCCAGAAGTGAGGAATGGGCTGTTCATTTCTTCTCCACTAATTGCCTAGTATTGTTTGGACACTCTTCTGTGAACGCTGGGTGGAAGAGCTCACAGATTCTCCAGGGGCTTGCAGTGTGAGCTATTTGGAAGGACCATCTGGTCCTGTGGAATGATACTATTTCACGGTGACTCTCTTGTACGGTGCAGGATGATTGATACACTAGTTCTGAACCGGGCTGGAGGGTCCAGAGCATGCCACTCTGCTTACCCTGTCACCGGGGCTCGTGAGGCTTGTGCTGGCCCTGTGCTGGAGGAGTGGCACTGTGTCGGGCCCACAGGAGGGGACATCATCAGTCACCATTGCTCCTTGAATAAGGAGCTGGAGCAAGGAAAATGCACATCGCATACCTCCTGGGAGGGCACACCTCAGCTACTCTCGTGATGCTGAAATGGTCTGCAATCTCCTCACCTTAGTTCAGTCACTGCCTGCGTCACTGGCCGAGGCCCCAGCACTACACGTGAGTGTCCCAGGCCACCAGGCCGTGCCCTCCTTCCTTCTTCCTGCCAGAGCCTGGCACACCCCCGTCTTTAGGATTGCCAGCGTTGGGGGCATCACGGTCCGGACACATCCTCTTTGTGTTCACACTCACTTCAGCAGCACCTCCAGGGAGACGCGGCTGTCGTTGCCCCTGTTCCTGCCTAGTTTCTGCTCCAGAGATCACCGTGGTTTTATTAAGTATGAAGAGAAATAGATTGCCTGGTCTGTCGGTTGAATTTTTTTTGTAATGACTCAGTCTCAGTTCATCTCAAAGAAGGTGGGTTCCTGTATCGTTTGAGTTCATACTTGTAAAGAAGCATTTGCCCTCCAGATTTTTCAGTGTCACCTCCGACTCCAAGGAAGCCAACCTTTTTCCCTTCCCAGTATCCTGCACATTCCTGCCCCTGCATCTGCGCAACCTTTTCCCATCTCCACCCCGGAATTTCCTGCTTCCTCTTCTTTTCCCACACACACCTGAGCAATCCTTCCAGGTCCAACTCAAGTCCTATCTCCACCAGGAAAAACCTGCCTTTGGCACCCAGACTCGCGCAGGCACCTCCCTCTTCCTGACCACCCACAGCTAGTGCGTCCCGTGGGTCCTGGATCACGTTGTCACCTGCCCTCTTTTGTTTCACGTGTGTGAGCCTCATTTCTAAACAATTTCAGCAGGCCCTTGAGGGCAGGAATCAGAGCATCTGTTTTTCTTCTTTCCTTCTTGATCTGTCAAAACCCTTCTTATTCTTTAAGGCACAACTCAGATGCCAGCTCCTCTAAGAAAGTCCTAGATCTCCTCCAACTTCCAGGCAGAATGAATGGCTCCATTAGCATTTGGGCTCTTAATTCTATGATAACACAGTCTGCCTCCCTCAATAGCATTATTCTGATACGCATATCTCCCCTGGTGGGGGGTGGTTAAGTAGATGTTGAATTGAGATGTAAATACTCTCACAGCTATTACTGTATGAGGCACATGCTGGTAATAAAGTCTCCAGTACTTACTGAATTAAATTATTGATTTGAATATTTGCTCACCTTGCAAATCTGCTGCTGTGTGAAATCTTCCTAACATCATTATGCCCACTGTCACCATCCACAGCATCTAAACCACATCGCGCTTTACATCTGTGCAGGAGAGAGTATAGCCCATGATCTTGGTGAAGTCTGAATTTATGAAGACCACTGTCCTACGCCTCATCCATCCAGTTGTATAAGCAGAGTGCTGGCAACCACCAACTGTCAAGCCTCTGAAAATGCTTGTAAACTGCACAATGAAAATTAATGTTCAATTAAATGTCTACAACATATTACATATGAGCTGCAACCTAACACACATAGTTTTATGTAATATGAAAGTTTATAAGATTAACTATATTCTTTAAGTTATTTCAAAATTACTAGCAAAATTCTACTTAATATGGGACATGTTTGTATTTTAATTTTTAACATTTAATTTTTTATTTTTTAATGGTGGATTAAATTGAACCCAGGACCTCGTTAATATATGTAATTGAATGGAATCTCCGAAATGAAGAACAACATAGGGCAGTGAAATTCTTAAAGGAGCCCCCTGCTATGGCATGAAACTCCCGCCACAAAACACAAGTGAATAGGTATACCTGAAGAGGGTATACAGCACCTTTAGACTTGTATTGATTCTGTACATAGAACCCTAAAGTCATTTTCAAAGATGTTTTTCTATTGCTCACTTCAGTCTTTTCACTTCCATTACCAGCAGTATCAGGTGGCCTTCTTGGGTGAATTAGGAAAAAAAAGCTGTGTTTAATCACATAACAGGAAGGCAGGTCCAGAGGGAGGATGCCTCCCTTGGTTGTGGATCCTGGGCCGTCTGCCCAGGCTCATTCGTCCGTATCATCAGGTACTTAATTCAATTCTGGACTACAACCATATTACAAATCACTGCATGTTGTGGAACTTTGCAAAGATTGAAACCACTGAAGTAAAACCCAGTAATGCTAAGGGTTTATTGCAATATTAAGGAGAATGGATGAGTGCACCTGAGCTGTACACACCCCTGGGAACCCTGGCCTTGGAGGAGGACAGAGGGAAGGAAGCAAAGTGCCTGTTGATCTCAGCAATAAGAAATCCACAACAGTGCCTCCTGGCTTCTGGTTTGGAGACCAAGAAGTTTCTCTAATGTCAATGGAGCAGCCTCTTTTACAAAGGGGAAGACTAGAAGGAATGTTCGATAGTCCTGAGAAAGAGCGTTGTCCTCAAGTGTTTCCGCTCCCACGTTGTCACCACCTTTGGATGCAGAACCTGGAAAGTCTGCCCCAGAAGATGCCCTTCCTCTGACTGGGCACATTCCTCCAACAGTCGTGACAGATGCTACCCAGCTCCCTTTAAAGATGATTCTTAGTCAAAGGCTCTTCAAGGGATGGGGCTAAAAGAAAGTGACTACAAGACTGGAATGATTTGAACTGAGTGAAATCTTAAACCTGAGGGTTTATATCTGCTTCCCAGAAAACAGATCATCTTTCCCACTCAGCTTTGCTTTGATGGTGAATAAATTTTGCTGCTCAAAATTCAATCCAAACCTAACTTCTCTGAGCCTAGATGGTCAGGAGAATTTTATCCAATATTTCTAAATCTCCTAATCTTCTCAGTGAGTGTTATGGACTGAATTGTGTTCCACCAAAATTCATGTGTTGAAGTCCCAAGCCCCAGCACATCAGAAGGTGGCTATATTCAGAGATGGAGTCTTTAAAGAGGCGATCAAGTTAAAATGAGGCTATTAGGGTGGGCCCTCATCCAATCTGACTGGTGTCCTTATAACAAGAGGCGATGTGGACACAGAGAGAGACTCTGAGGTGTACACCAGAGAGAAAAGACCGCGTGAGGACACAGGGAGAAGGTGGCTGTCTGCAAGTCAAGGAGAGACGCCTCAGAAGAAACCAAATCCCGCTGGCAAATTGATCTCGGCCTTCCGGACCCCAGAGCTGTGAGAAAACAAATGCCTGCTGCTTTAGCCCCCGGTGCGTGGCACTTTGTTATGCAGGCTAGCTAACAAATGCACTCAGGCAAGCCAACTTGTATTGAAAGTACAGAAACTTCCGGGGTAAATTTTATCTCTCAGATCTATGACAGCAGACTTCTAAACGTAAATTTTCTTTAATTTGATGGCCAGTATCTCCAGGCTACTTTTTTTTTTCAACTTCCTGATACAGGTGGTGAAAGTATGGGACTTTGAAACAGGAAGGCTGTTGTCTGAATTTACTGGGGCTCATGGCAGCACTGGAATCACTTGTCTGCCCTTTGACCCAGTGGAAGAAGGTATGTGCCTTCTCTAGTATCTTCTACCACTAGGCAGGGTGACCCCTGACATGCCATCCTGATGGGGGCTCTGTTTCCTAGGCTAGTTACCAGGGGCAGAGATGGCTGGCTGAGAACATGGAGCTACAGCAACGGGCGTTGTCTGCACACCCTGAAACACGGCAAGTCATTTTCTACCAAGGATCCCCATATTATAATGATGCAAGATTGAACGTTTGTAATAAATGTGGAAGAAATCAAATGGGAGAGAATCTAGGATGCATGTAACAATCCTACCTCCTTTTCTCTGGCACTTCATTGCCAATGACTCTAAACGTCTATGTAGGAAGGACATACTACACATAAATGTTTGTGGTCCCAGCTGTACCCCATGCGTTTGTTCCCTTGCTGCCTGAGTTTTGAAAGAGTTTATACCTGGTATATATACATATATACCTGGTATACACCTGATTTCTTAAGAGTTTAACTTTTCTAAATATTTTAATCATCGTGTAAGTCAAACATGTAAAGTCTAGATGAACTAAAACCTAGTCTCATTGTGTGTCATTGTGATTTTTTGTTCTCAAGGCTGCTTTTTCCGTTTGTTCATGTGCTGTGTTTGTTCTTAGTAAAATTTCCACAGTTCTGGCCTGTGAGACTATGAGGAAGATCAGAGGCAAACTTTCTTCAGGTATCAGAGAATATAAATGAAATTGAAGTAAATAAGATAAAAATTACTCACAGTAACAAGTGTGTGATCACTTGTTCTGCCTCTGACCTCACACATGCGTGTGCTCATTCGCTGAGTCAGTGAGTGCCAGGCACTGTGTGGGGTCTTTCAGGAGAAGGTGAGCCCCTTCCTGTAGCTGAGTGAGGGCTGAATCGGCCCTTTAGGGCAGGGAGGGTGGCAGTGCTTTGATGGCTTGAAAGACACATAACTGTGGTCTGGAAACTAGAAAGTAAGTGCTGAAGTTTTCCCAGTCATCCGTTGGGTGAAGTCAGTGTGTGGAAACTGATTCAAGAACTAAGATAGAAGAATAAGTTGATAATATTTTCTAGATGAAAAGCAAAATGAAATCTGTGATTGTACCTACTGGGAGGTGAACCAAAACAAGTGAGTTATAGTCCACTTGACTGTAAGAGGGGCATCTTGAGTACTTAGTGGGGCATCTTTTTTGATACAAAGTTTGTCCTGGAGGAAGACACCAAGACAGTAAAGGGAATTTCCCAGAAAGAAATGTGTTGAAGAATTCCCCCAAAATGTGGTGGGTCCCAGATGGTAATTCAGGCAACAGGGCTCTTCCAGAATATTGGAAGCAGTTCTCTGCACATTTTGATAACTGTGTAGGGGTAGAGACTGGAAGCACTGTATCTCTCCACCAAATGCTTTATTAGGGAATAAATCACAAACTAGAGTAATTAAATTCAGCAGCCATGAGTCAAAGAATAAAAACCCAATAAATTCCCTCCTGAACATTAAAATGTTGAAAACAATTCTTGATCAATTTATGTTTGTGCCCCTGCCTCCGTGGTTCAACCACGCTCTTGGGATCAGGGCATCCTTCGGAAGGCAGCTGCTCGTGGAGCGCACCTTGGAAATAACTGGGTACCCTGCTTCTGCTTCCGCATCCTTTAAGAACCAGTTAAAAAACGGACCCTGTTATCAAATCATGTTTTATCTTGCTCTCTGCAAAAAACAGAAGAGGTTGTTTTCTTGCTGTCTTCATTTATCATATGTACATGACAAAATTAAGCCACAGTATTGATTCCATGCAAAAAATTAAGCAGATAATAAGCTCAAGTATCAAAATGTCATGGTCTGTTGTTCTGGGCGTATCACAGCTGCTGGATGGGACAGAAGGATAAACGTATACTATGTCAGTGAAATGTACAAAACTATGGTATTTCAAAACTCTGCTTCAGACTGATTTCCTTTCCCACACTCACCCCCCGTTGATTCTTTTCCCTTTAAAAACAGATTTTGGAGAAATTCTTTATGCCACTGTCTGGTACAAGTCACACCAAAATATAGACAAAAGTTTCCTCCTCTCTCTCTCTTCTCTGTCTCATCTTTCCTTCCTGCTTCCCTTTTAAAAAAAAAAGTTTATACTTTTCCTGTTTCAGTTTCTTCTCACTAGTTCTTTTCTATGGGAAGAAGTGTAATGACTCTGCGCCCAGTTGCAATGTACGGGGGTTTCCTCACGCCAACAAGCAGTTCTCCGACACAAGCTGGTACCCTACAATTCAACTCCATTCTCACGCTATCTACCTTGAGAGAGCGTCAGATTCCACAGGTTGAGGGTTGAGTCCTATAAGGTACAAGACTCCTCACCGCAACTTCAGACACCATTTGCAAATCCAGGTTGTCGCCTGTGCCTCTGACCAACTGGTTATAACACAGGAGGTTCCAAAGACTCCCCTCCTTGGGTTATATTAATTGGCTTAGAGCAGCTCACAGACCTTAGGGAAACTTTTCTCCTGCTGGATTGCCAGTTTATTATAAAAGGATATAACTCAGGAATAGCCAGATGGGAGAGGTGCATAGGGTGCAGTATGGGGAAGGGGCAAGGAGCTTCCATGGTCAGCACTTAGGAAATTCAGAATGGAAACAAAAACAAAATACATATTTCTAATTATAAATCACAGTGTCACCCAGTCCTAGGTAGACAAACTATCAGGGCAAAGAGGGCATCTTTGGGGATCCAAACCAGACCGTACCTTGACACTTGTGGCTCCCCCTCACCTTGCCTAGTCTTCTCAGCTTTTGTGCAGGCTGGCTGTGTTCCCTCCTACCCAGCATGCAGGGGCTTACAATTACATCTGGAATATTCTCGCTCCTAATTGAAGGTTAACCAGCCTGTTAATTTCTTCCTTCTTCCTCCCACCTTGTCTTCATGCCCTAGTCCTTCCCTAAATGGAAAAAAATGAAATGCCATCCATAAGCATCTCTATGGGAAAAAAATTCTTTTTTCTATGGCTTAGAGGTGGGGAAAGGATTAAGAGACGTGGGAAGTTGAAAATGCTGACTAAAACTAAGTTTTAAATCTACCTGCGGCATTTTATTTCCCCCGTTTGCTATGCTGGATGGTCCTGGATTTTTGAAGGTCTTTAAAGATTGTAAGTTCTTTATTCATTTGAAAGTGTGCTGTATTTCACAGCCTGAGCCTTGCATCCTCAGATGATTTGGAAGATGACTACCTGAGAGGTCCCGGCTTTGAATTTGTTCTTTGGTATTAAAGGCTCCTGAGCTGATGGCTTTTGTTTTAGCCCCTTCAACAGTTCTGGGTCTCATTACGGAGGTGAAGCTATGCAGACCATCCGAGGAGAGCCTGTCAGTTGACATATGATTTGCTGGAATGCAATCGCCCAAACATCAGGGTTGGATTGCTTTTTATTCCCACTGGCAGTAGGGGAATTTGCTTTGACGTTTCAAAAAGCCACATCATTGGTAGGGTGAGGGGTAGGGTTATAAAATGTGCCAACACCTCTCCCTGAAGCTGTGAGTGTGTTGGCAGCTCATTTTACTGCTTGTACAACTTCTCCTGTTTGGCTTTGAATACAGGACACACTGTCTCATTTTCATCACTTCCTGAAGCCACAAGTACACTGGCAGGATGACTTGGTGAGCCCTGGTGCACTGTCCAGCTCTCAACCCAGACAGTGGCACTTGATGGGGTTGTCCTTCATTCCTGGGGTTCACCCTGAGTCTCCGGGGCCTGCATCTGCCTAGGGCGATCACAGCATCTCAAAAGCCTCTGCTGTGGTGGGGTTTCGTGATTGGGATGTAGGTAGAGCCAGAAGCACTGAGCTCCTGGCAGCTGCTTCTGCTCCAAGAAGAGTGACGGCCTGTGTCCAGGTTGGGACATGAGGCCCAGGAGCAAACCCATGCATCTCCCCTTGAGCTCAGCCTAGAGTCCTGTGGTGTAGGAATGGCAGCCCAGGATGTGATACGTGTGACTTTCCTCAAAGAAGCATCTGCTTCCTATTTGTTCTTGGCATGCAAAACTGTACCCATTCACTGTGCCATCGTTGGGTGGCCGGGGAACCTAAGCGATGACATTCCTACCGCCTGTGAGGGACTTCTTACGATTCTTGTTAGCATTCAAATTGCCCCCAACTTTCTACAGCTTCTCAGGGTTGAGTGACATCTTTCAGAATTGTCTGGATGCCAAGCCTTTGAGACAAGTGTTAAGAAAGAAAGTTTACTGTGAATAATAACCACTTCCCACCACCCAACCTTACATTACGCCCTTATAAATATTCCAAAAGCTACCAGTCACTAGAATGCAAATTCAGTGAAGACAGACCTTGTCTGTTTTCTCTTTCATATTCCCAGGAACAGCTGGTGTCTGGTTTATCTTAGATGCCCTATTAATACGTGCTCATTCAGCGAGCATATATCCAATGCCTACTGTGGGCCCACTGCGTGCTGTTCCCTGAAGATGCAGCAGTGAGCAAAGTGGTCACCACACGGTCCCTGCCTGCGTGGAGTCTGCAGATGACTGATTGTTGACTGAAAGAACAAAGTTATGCAGAAAATGACCCGAGGGAAGCCATGGTCATTGGAAGGGCAGAAGTCATGCCAGAGTCAGTGAAGTGTTAGTTTATTCAGATATTTATTCATTCAGTTATCAATTCTTTCAACACCTGTTTATCAAGCACTGTCATAGTGCCATCCTTAGAGGGTAGACACAGAAGATAGAAACATGAATAAAACGTGATTCCCGGCCCAGAATTTCACAGGCTGGCAAGGCGATAAACTAAGGAAATAATCATCACACGATGTGACAGATGCTATAATAATGTATAAAACGCTGGAGAAAGCTGGGACAGCTGGGAACTGCTAACTTTGCTCTAGCACCGTACAGGATATTAAAAGATTACTAGGATTTTTCCAGGAGGCCAAGGTAGGGAACAGCAGCCGAGAGGAGGGGGAAGGGGGAGAGCGTGAGCCGAGTGGGAGCATGAGAAGCCATTGAATGAATGTCTCTTTCCCAACTGTCTTACCCACCATCTTCCCAGCAGCTTTCAAGCAGAATGGGCATCTTAGATGATCACGGATAGGTCCTCAGGGGACGCTCTGTAGGAGCTAGGTGAGGGCAAGGGAGAAAAAAATATCTTTACAGCCCCAAGAAAGGCCAATTCTCTCCACAAGTAAACTGCTCCCCAGTGAGAAAGTGGAAAGGATAATGGCCAGGGACTCTTTGAAGTCTGCAGACTAGTCTCAAAACCAAAAATATGTCCATTTCTTATCTTTCTTAAGGATCCACGTCCAAAAATCTTCCTTTCAAGGAGAGTAGATAATTCCAGTTCCTAACAGCACTGGTGAGCCACAGGTGGGGGCAGATGGGAGCTGTGGAGGAACTGAGTTGAGGGACTCCACACACTGGAATTCAGATGTGGGGCTCTGGGGAGACCAAACCCCCTTGGCCAGTGCTTGGGTTCCGTTGTCCTTTCCCATCAGCGTTCTGACGTTGCCCAGCGCCACGTGGAGGTAAGGAAGCTGCTAGAGTAGCGCTTGCCTGGGGAAGGTGACAAAACTGACTGCAGGAGACGCAGCACCTCTCTGGCTGACCTGCAAGCAGACGCCTGCCTGGAGGGACCCCCTGGTCCTCTGGGCTGGGCCACGAGGTTCCGGTGAGTCCTTGATGTGGGCAACCACAGGATCCTCTGTCTTAGGCACCAAATGGAGGGAAGTTAGCTGTGGGTGGCTGGGGATTGGACTTCTCAATCTGTCCCTCTCTGTCTCTCCCAGAACCACAGGCACAAGGAGGCCATCCTCTGTGTGGCTTACTGCCCACCTTTTCTCCTGGCCACCTCCCGCGATGACGGCAAGAGCATCATTTGGAATGTCATCTCAGGCCACGGGTACGGCAAGCTCAACACCCCCAGCCCCTCTGAAGGAGCAGAAGACGGAGAAGGTAGGCGTGAGGCGGCCTCCGCGGACACTCTGACTGGCCTGGCAGCCTTGGGCTCCCAGCAAGTTGTCTCAAGGAGCCTCAGCTCTGGGTGGCTTCCGGTTATAAGGGATTGGCCTGAATTCAGGCTTAACTCGTCAGATGGAGATTCAGATTCCCTAAACTGGAAGGAAGCTCAAGAGTTGAGCTAGCTCAGTCCACATCCTCAGGCACCCGTCCATGAAAGCTCATCTCGCAGGCCAGCCCACCACCTCCAGGAGCCCTTTTCTCACCCCCAGCCAGCCCCTTGGGCCTTGCTGGTACAGCTCTTCCAGTGCTGACTGTACTCCTCTGCTTTGAGGACCACCCTCCACATGCTTCTATCACCTAGCAAGCAAGCCAGGTCCACCGCACCCGCCTAGCTCAGACATCATCTCCTGATGGTCACTCATCCGTGTGCCCTCAGGCTTTATGCCACCCTCACCATCAGCCCCCTCTAGTGGCCTCAGGTTCCCAGGTCCTCACATGGCCTACAGCCCCCTAACCCACCGTCCCACTGGGGCCTGTCCTGACTTCTTGTATACTGTATTGCAAAACTTCTCCCCACCCTCCCACCCCTACTGTCCCCAGTTTCCCTGCCCTGAGTCCATTTCTCCAAGCCCCTTTCTCTTGGATGGGTTCATTCATTCACTTATTCATTCAAAGAATATTGACAAGCCCTTGCTATGTGCCAGGCCCGGTGCCAGGTCTTGGGGCTGGTAATCACATCCCTTTCCCCCATAAGTCCTGAACCACATGGGAAAATACACATGGGAGGATCCACTCGTCTGTCAGTTTCATTGCTGGCGGTGCTGGACTGGAAAACTGGCAGGAGCCCACAGCCAAATGGGCTTCTTACCCCTTCTCTCCCTACGTCCAGAGTCCAGGCCTATCCTCTCCCAGCGGCCATCTGAAGACCCGCATCTGCCAACAGCCAGAGGACCCACTGCCTCACACCCATGGGGCCCCAACAAGGGAGAAACAGGGTGCTGGGCATATCTGCATAAAACTGGAGAGCTTCTGCATCTCCTGAAACCCAACCAGCAAACCCTTAGAGAGCCGTGAGCCCCAGACGACAATCCCTGCTTTAGGCATTTGATGATTTAGTAGCCAGGGAAAAGCTCTAATGATTCATTGGATCAGCAAACATCTTTGAGCTGCTTCCATGGGCATAACTCCATGGGAGATGCGTAGAGGAGACTAGAGAGAGATGTGGGGCCTGGTGCTGCCCTCAGGGGAGTCAGTGTAAATCCAGAGACAAAACTTGCATGCCCAACAGGTAAAGTAATGATACCGTGATGCAGTCAGCCCCTCTGTGCTTGAGAGACACTCTGGAGGGCAGGGGTTGAAACTGAAACCACTGGACACCACGAGATTAAAAAGAAAGTCTTACCTGCAGATTTATTATCCAGTCTATTCTCACCCCCTTTACTACACATAAAAAAAGCCTCTCCTGCGGAGCTCTTTCTGAGAGTGCCTAAGAATTTTTTAAATCTTTAGGGGGAAAAGTGGTGGCATTTCCTTCTAAAGGTTTATTTTCATTGCATTTAAATGAAAATTAAGTCACTGGCCAAGAATGCAATGTTGACCTTTCAGCCAGCAGTTCTAATTTAAAATCCTATTTGAAGCAGCATTTATTGCTTAGAGTTATGTGACTGCTGGTTTTGAAAAACTCCTCTTCTACTCCAAAAATGCAAAGCCAGCCATAGCTCCCAATTATTCACATTTCAACACTGAAAACATTGCACAAATTAGGTGGAAATATGTGAAAGTTTCCCCACCCTTCTGGGAAAGAGCAGTACTGGCTCTTCCTGAAGGTCAGAATGGAACACAGTGGTCTCTTTTCACATGGGATTGTTTAAGAGGCCGCCATCTTACTTGGAAAACCATCTGGACATTTCTCCTGAAGTCATCCTCAGTAGAGAGGGGAGTTAAGAGAGAAAGGCAGTCGTGCAAACAAAGCTGAAAACATATTTTTTCTGCCAACTTTTCAACATTTTAGCTTCATTCTTCCTTATATGTATTGGGAATTCCATCTTCCCCTACATCAAAGAGAAAGAATTTGAGAGCGAAAGAGAGAGACCAAGAGATTTCAGCCAGGCTAAAATCCAGAAATTTGCGAGTTCACTGGGAAAATAAAGCTCTTTCTATTCTTCTTCTTCTTTTTTTTTAATTGTGGTAAAATACACGTAATGTAATATTTGCCATCTTAATTATTTTAAGTCTATAGTTCAGTGGTATAAATACATTCACAGTGCAGCCAACACCTCCATCCATCCCCATAACTCTTCTTGAACCTGAACTCTGTATCTATTAAACAATAACTCCCCCATCCCCACTGCCCCCAGGCCCTGGCCGCCACTATTACAATTCCTGTCTTTATGATCTCGATTACTCATGGAAATGAAATCGTACAGTATGACTGGCTCACTTCACCTAGCATAACAGCCTCAGAGATAACGTCCATCCATATTGCAGCATATTGCAGAACTTCCTTCCTTCTTAAGGCTGCATAGTTTTCCATTATGTATATCTACCACACTTTGCTTATCCATTCATCCATTGATGGATACTTGGATGGCTTCCACCTTTTAACTGTTGTGAATAATGTTTCTATGAACATGGTTGTACAAATATCTCTTCAAGACCCTGCTTTTGATTCTCTTGACTATATTCCCAGAAGTGGAATTGCTGGATATATGATACCTCTAGTTTTGATTTTCTGAGAGACCACCACACTGATTCCCACAGGGGTTCTGCCATTCTACAGTCCTGCCAACAGTGCACAGGGTTCCGATTTCTCCACATCCTGACCAACACTTGTTATTTTCTGGTTTTTGTTAGTAGCCGTCAGAATGGGTGTGAGGTGGTATCTCATGGTGGTTTTGATGTGCATTTCCCTAAGGATTAGTGATGTTGACCATCTTTTCATGTGCTTATGGCCCTTTGTGTACCTTCTTTGGAAAGATGCCTGTTCAAGTCCTTTGCTTTTTTGAAACTGCTTGTGTTTTCTTATTGTTGTGTTTCAGAAGTTTTCTATATATTCTGGATATTAATCTATTATCAATATATTATTTGCAAATATTCTCTCCCATTCTGTAGGCTTCCTTTTTACTCTATGAATAGTGTCTTTTGATGCACAAAAGTTTATTTTTCATGAAGTCCAATATGTCTATTATTTTTTCTTTTATTACCTGTGCTTTTGGTGCCATATCCAAGAAATCATTGTCAAATCCAATGTCATGCAGCTTTTGTCCCATGTTTTCTTCTAAGAGTTTTATTGTTTTAGGTCTTACATTTAGGTCTTTCATCTATTTTGAGTTAATTTTTGTACCTGGTATTAGTTAAGGGTCCAAATTTCTTCCTTTGCAGATGGATATCCAATGTTCTCAGCACCATTTGTTGAAAAGACTGAAAAGGGTCTTGGCTCCCTTGTCAAAAATCATTTGACCGTAAACGTGAGGGTTTGTTTTAGGGCTCTCTATCCTATTCCACTGTCCTGTGCATCTGTCTTTATGCCAGTGCCGCAGTTCTGATGACTGTAGCTTTGTCAAATGTTCTGAAATAAGGAAGTGTGAGTCCTCGAGTTTTCTCTTCTTTTTCAAGATTGTTTTGGCTCTCAGGGGTCCCTTGACATTCCTTATGAATTTTAAAATGGCCTTTTCTATTTCTGCCAGCAACATCTTTGGGATGTTGATAGAGACTGCATTGAATCTATACATCGCTTTTGGTAGTATTGATGTTTTAACAATATTTCTTCCAATCCATGAACATGGGATGTGTTTCTATCTATGTCTTAATTTCTTTCAACAATGTTTTTTAGTTTTCATTGTACAAGTATTTCACATCCTTGGTTAATTCCTAAGTATTTTAGTCTTTTTGATGCTATTCTAAATGGAGTGTTTTTTTTTTAATTTACTTTGCAGATTGTTCCGTGGTCACATATAGAAATGCAACTGACTTCTGTCTGTTGACTTGGTATCCTGATACTTTGCTAAATTCATTCACTGCTTCTAAGAGATGAAAGCTTTTTATTTAGGGAAACAATATAATAATATTTAGTTTAGTTGTGAATAATATTATAACAAAATAATAATATAATAATTTCAATAAGATAGTATTTTATTAATAATAGTATTTAGTAGTTAATAATATAATAAATATAATAACAATATGCTAATAATTATATAAGTAACATATTTAATCCTGTATGTCATTTTCCTGAGTGCTTTCAATGTATTACCTCATTTAGTACTCACGTCAACCCAGGGAGATAGGTGCTATTGGACCCATTTTCATAGATGAGGAAACTGAGGCTAGAGAGTTAAGTAACAGTAACTAGAATGGTTACCATTTGTTGAGTGTCTCTGTGCTCTGAGTACCTTAGGTGCAGTATCTCCATTCAGCTTCATAGCAAGGTCATGGAGCACGATTCCCATAGAGTCTCTAATTTACTCTTCCCTGAAATTCTGTGAACTAGCAAGTATTGTCTCCCTGTCATGGATGAAAAAACTGAGGTTTCGGGAAGTGAAATGCTCCTCCAGACCACGCGTTGGGGAGTGGGGGAGCAGCACACCCACCCCTACCCCAGGATGAAGTGGGCAGGTGAAGGGGGTTATCTCTGCTGCCCCTCCCCCTTTCATCATCCTCCCTCTCGCCACCCCCTAGGGCAATACCCCCAGAGCCGGATAATCTGAGAGTAAGGTGACACCTTAGCCCATCGCTGACCACACACCCCAGGCTTCAGGGAGGGCACGGGGGCCGAGGAGCTGGCAGGAGCCTCACCACCATGTAGGCGACCCTCCACCTGCCTCTGAGAATCCTCAGTGCCCCGAGGACAACCACAAAGCCCGATGTCAAGGGCCCGGGCTTTGGATGCAAACACATCTGGATCTGAATCTCAGCACCTCCACGTCTGAGCTGTGTGACCTCAGGCAATGCGGTTCTTTCTAAACCACGGTCTCACTGCCTGTAAAATCAAGAGCATGATGTCTAACTGGGATTGTTGTGATAACTGACCATGGTGGTGTTGAGAAGGTACTGAGCTCAGTGCCTGACACAGGAAGTTCCACTAAGTGAATTAGCCTTGCTGTGGTGGTCATCCACCTGCTGACAGGGCCTGAGTCTGCCATGTCCACCATGGTTTCCCAAGTGCACAGACCTGACAAAAAACAAGTGAAGGAAAGAATGAACTCTTGATGGCTTTGAGCAAAGCTTTTAACTGTTTTAAATCTCCATTTCCTCATCTGACCCTGGGACTGATAATCCAGTACCATGTGACTTCACATGGTTCTGCATCTTGGCAAATGTAAAAAGTGGCATGCAGGTTAATTATTATTATTCCAATCCAGGAATCCCAGGGAGTGGGGACCTCTTGGGAGGTGTCCACAGAGTCCCGGGCAAAGCCCCGACCTCCCCACCAGCTCGCGGGCCCCGCCCTCCAGCCCACACCAAGTTCCCAATCCCTGTCTCTCTCCCCGGGTCCTAGGGCAACGCCAGGGTGCCCTGAGCCACAGAGGCCCTCAGCCTTCACGTCTGCCTTCCCCCCGTCAACCAGGCTGGGCTGGTTCCTATCCTCCTGTGTGCGCCGCCTCTGCTTCAGGCCCTGGGCCGGGGGCAGCTCTGTGACCCGGGGAGAGACCCAGGAGAGGATGAGAAAAGAGCTGGGAGCACAACCAAAACGCTCCCCTTGCCCCCAGGCCCAGGCCGGAGTGCTCCCTGCCTCACCTTCCTGAAGGCGCGGGCAGCCGCGCTGGGATCAGCCACCCGGCCCTTGCGGCCCGCGGCCCGAGAGCAGAAGGGAACCGGCGCGGCTCTTCCCTGCGGCGCTGCGGGCGGGTTTGAGAGGAAGCGTCTCCAGGCGGTCAGGACGCCCCGGCTGCGCCCGCTGCCCTTTCCCTCCGGCTGCGCCGGTCTCTCCCTGGAGCCCAGGCGGACTAACGCCAGCCTGCTCGGCCGCAAGATGAGCAAAGGATCCTGCGCTGGGGATCAGCGGTGGGGGCCGGCTCCCAAGCCCACTAACTAGCTCGGTGATGTCACCCGGGTGACAGGTCCTCCAGCCTTCAGTAACATGTAATGAGTGGGCCAAAGCTCTAGGATTTTATTTTAAATCTCAAGTTAAAAGCAGCTGCCGAGCAGGGAGCTTGGGAAACGCAAGGCACAGATGCCCGGCGCCCTTCCTCCTGCTCCCCTCCCAGGCTCCGTCACCTTCTGGAGGCTGTTCGGCGGGGCCTGTCCCATCGCAAACTTCACTACTCTAAGTTTGGCCGCGGTTTGGTAATAAGTTCCATGCTTCAGGTTTGGGTGTGTTTGTCTGTTTCGACACTAGCCTAAGTGATGCAGCAGCTCATCAGGGCTCTAAGCCCTTTCTATCTGTATGTCTGCTTTACTGGAGGATTAATACCAGCACAGTGACTAGTTCTTACTACAAATGGGAGATAGCATTTCACTTGCCATGGTCTGACAGGTAAGCTGTACCTGTGATGGGCTGTGTGTGTGTGTGCGTGTGTGTGTGTGTGTGTGTGAGATGGACCCTGTGTGTGTATACGTAATGGGCCCTCTGTGTGTATTCTGTGTAATGATCCCTGTGCGTGTGTCTTTCAGTCCAGAGACAAAGCCCGGATCAGCAGCATGGTGGTGACAGCAGGAGACACCCGTGACTATGTGGCTGACCAGGATGGCTTGGTGCACGTCTGCGACATCGAGGAGTACAGCCTGCTGGGACCAGAGCTGCAGCCTTCCAAGGGTAGGCAATGAGCTCTCCGTGTTAAACACTCTGTGGAGCACAGACAGGGAGCATATAGGTATGGACCATCCACCTGGCTACAAGCTCAGCCCCAGTTCAGAGCCTTGCTGGAGTCTCCACTGGGTCGTGAATTCTCTTGAAGTCAAATGTATTCGTCAGGCCAGTACTCGGGCTGCGGTAATGACATACCATACACTGGGCAGCTTAAGCTGCAGAACTTTATTTCTCACATGTGTGGAGTTCTGGAGACTGGAGGTCTGAAGCAGGGTGCCAGTGTGGTCAGAGGGGGCTTTTCCTGGCTTGCAGGTGGACATCTTTTCAGGTCACATTTTGTTGAGTCCTCACATGGCCCAGAGAGAGAGAGAGAGAGAAAGGTGAACACTCTGATGTCTCTTCTTATAAGATCACTTTTGGATCAGGGTCCCACCACATGACCTCAATTAACCTTAATTACTTCCATAAAGGCCTTATCTCCAAATACAGTCACACTGCGGGTTAGGGCTTCAACAGAAGAATTTGGGGGAGGCAGACAAAATTCAGTGTATACCTTAAAATCAGTTTATTTTCACAAAAATTATCAAAATCAAAAACATGTTAATTTAGAGAACTCGGCTAGACTGGAGGCAGTGAATTTGGTAAGGAACTGTGCTATCATGTCCCGGTAGGAATGATTCAGGACTGGGGGGAGCTGTGTGATGAGGAGTGGGCTGTAGTGATTAGATTAACCCGAGTCACTGCTCAGAGAGACTCCGTACCTGCTTCAGTAGGTTACCTTGTCTCCCTAGCTGAGGTTTCTTGAAGCAGGTGCTAGAACTATTTTGGATATACATTCAAGTGCTTAGCATAGACTGAGTCGCTTGTGCACCGATGTGATACATTTTGTAGGAGCTCTTCCGGGCTTGAGGCTCCAGGGCCAGCTGCCCTGGATTGTTTCTTACGGAACCACAGGCAGAACGGAATTTGATTACGTGGACCTCACAAAACTTTGCTCTGATTAGAACTCAGGTTCCCTTCCATCCTACGCTTGCTGTGTATTAATTTATCTCTATTCTTCCAGGAACCTTTGGGCAGAGTAGTCCCTGGGATATTTTCACTCCTGCCTCCTGGGGCCACCCTAGAGTGCCAGTGAAGTTCCGACAGGTCCCCAGAGCGTGCCTGCTCACCCGGCGCTGGAAGGAGGTGTTCCTGCCACGCACACAGGAGAGGAGGGACAAGGCAAGGTGGTGGAGGGCAAGGCCGGTGCTACGGTGGGTCTGCACATCCAACTCACCTGTGCTTCCTTCGTAGCTTCCAGGCAGATCAGCACAGGTTGCAAACTGCAGCCTGAAAGGGCCAAGGCATGACCCAGAGGACCAAGTCAGTACAGAAACAAATGTCCCAAGATCGTGCTACTGGCCAGGGCCAGGGGGCTTACTGGTGCAGGTGGGAGACAGCTGGGGCTAATCTCCCAGCATCAGCTTGACTTTGTCCTCCTTTTCACCAGCGTAAAGGCTACTGTCCGTGGCCTTGGAACACAGAGACTCAACACAATGCTGAACCTGCTGTCACATCAAAGAGACAGACCCGGAAGATTCAGCCTGCAGCACACGCTCACTGTTAGGAAATACATTTACGCGCTGGGCCTCCTGACGGGTGAAAAGAAGAAATGGTGGATTTAGCGCCCGAGTCTATGAAAGCGTCGGAGCAAGAGATGTTGAGCGGGCCCTGGTAGATGCAGCCTTGATTTAGAGCTCAGTGAAATATATGGATTTCCAAGAAATGCTTGCCCTTTAATAAGTGGAAAAGAAGGTCATTTCATGAGCTATTGCTCACCGGTTATGTTACAACTCAAAGCAGGACACCTGCTCTGCCAGCAAAATAATGTGTCTTAGGTTTTGCCTTGGCAGCCTCTTGGAATACTGATCACACAGTGTCTCCTCGTCACTGACGTCCTCGCAGAGCCCCAGACACAGAAAATGGGGAGTGAAGGGCCCGGGCAGCCATCAATCCAGAAGACCTTCTGTCTTGTCAGGAGCCTCCCACGTTTCCAGGACCTTGTTCTCACAAGCGTTCCCAAGGCGGTAACACGGGGCCCTGGTAGCCCTGAGCCCGGGAGGCTCAGAATGTGTCCACACAGCACTGGCACTGTCGGCCTATTTAAAATACACTCATTTCAGCAGGCATGTGATATCCAGAAAATAAATATGTTCATTCACTTTGATCAGGCCCCCAATTTAGAAAACAAAAGCACAGGGGAAGGTGGGAAGAGAGAAAGGAAGGAGCTCATGGGGGAATGTGCTAATAGACACAAAACCCTGGGTCCCCACACCAGACCTGGAGAAAATCAGACTGCAGCTCAGGGGCAGGAAGGAGGGAGCTGAGGGAGGAAGGGGAGGAAAGGGAGGGACGAAGGATTCTCAGTTCAGTACGTTCAAAGTAAATAACTCATACGATGCTCGCTTCCCCCTCCCTGACCCGGTGAAAGAGGAGGAAGCAATAGACTTCATGGGTGGCCTTGATCTTGTGTAGGGAGACCACTAGGAGATTTTGTGTTTCTTATTCTGTCCAATTTGTCTGCAAATACCTCAGGAAACAGTCTGTAAATTCTCCCCAAGAAAAATACACAGGAAAAAAAAAGAACCTGAAGACCCCTTATGTAGTGTGTCTGGGCCGGTCGATGGGAATTCAAAGTGAAATTACAGAACGAAGTGTTTGCAGTGCTGTTTACAAGTTCGGGTTGCCTGAGGTCTACTCCCAGGTTCGCACCCATTAGTTGGGTGACCTCCAGCAATCACTTCCACTGATCTACAAAACAAGGGCTGGGATTAGCTGATCTTTAAGTTTCATTCCAGCCCTAAAAAATACGATGTTTCTCTGCACATCTGTTTTGCAAAACGGAATGTGTTGATTGGATTCTGCATGTCAGGAGTGAGTCTGCCAGGATGCCAGCCTATCAGACACAACCACAACTGAAACAAGTTGACTGAATGCAGAAAACCATTCACCTGGAAAGCATCACAGATGAATTGGTAGTTTGTGTTGAAAGCACAGGGGAACACGCTCTTGTTATCTAACGGATTCAGCCAGCCTGGGTCCTGTCCTAACACGGAAAATCCATGTAACTGACCTGTTGCCTGTGATCCTGGTTCCTATTCCCACATCTGCTCCTTCTTCCAGCCTGGAGAGACCGCGAACTCTCATTCTCCAGGAGACTCTGTCCTAGAAGTTGAAGGGAAAGAAGACATACATCAATGGGATACATTTTGCAGTGACAGGTCAGCTGAAAAGAAACACCCAGGTTGAAGCCAGGCAGCCTTTGCTGGCTGAGGTATCCCAGGTCACCTGTCCTTAGCACGAGTCATTGGTCCCTAAGCCCCACAGCCTGTGAGAATAGCAAGGTCACAGCTCAAATCTCACCAGTTTAATGTCCTGCTTACCTGGCTCAGGACACTCTAAGGAGCCCCAGTTTTGTCTGGTCAATCTATGTGGTCAGAGGCCACCTTTGCCTCAAGCTCTGTGGCTGGTTGCTGCCCAGGCTGCTTGAGGCAGGACCACGCACGGGTACTCCCACAGGAGCCCAGTGTGTCCCCTGCCGCTCCTCTCGTCATGGGACTTGGATCTAGGTGGTGGGGCTGCATGAGTGATGATGTCACCCTGACCTCCCCGGTTTCTTGGAGCAGCGGCTCCGAGGCCGAGAGCCCAGGCCCCTACTGCATACGGCTGCCCCGCTGTCCTAGCCTCGTTTCCCTCTCACTGTGGCCTTGTGGTACAGGTGCTGTTGGGGCCTCCTGTTTCCACCCATACTCCAGGCAGTGTGAAGAAACAGGAGCGTGCAGAACCAGGTCCAGGACAAAAGTGTGTGCCCTCCCACGAGATCAGCTCCCTTTGCCGACTTTCCGGGAGGCCCTGCACACTTCTGCACACATCTTGAGGGCCAGAATTTAGTCGCTGGGCCCCACCTCATCACAAGAGAGGCTGAGAGTTCTGTACCTTAAGAAGAAGGCAAGAAAGGATTTGGGGTAGACAACTGGCAATCTTTGTGCCAGGAGGTCAGAGTAAAAGGCTTTGGATGCTTCAGAGTCAGAGGGTATCACACCTAGAAACACCATTCATTGTGCATTTCCTGCCAGAAAATGGCAGAGAGCTGTGAATCTAAGGTCTGGATTGGGAGAATACTCAGCTTGTAGGAACGCGATGTGGACTTTGGTTACAGTCACAGGTCTGTCTTTGAAGTCATTTAAGCTCCATGTTGGTATACCTGAGATCTCCCAGGTGGATCTGCAAGCCAGTGAGATGGTCAGTTTAATGATGTGTTGGTTTCTAAGGCTGCAAAGGGAGGGGCTCCCCCATCCATGGATATCTGGGGTTGAGGGAGTGACGTCATCGGCACCTCCATCATCACCGTTACTGGCGGCGGCAGAATCAGCACCGTCCTCTCTACACCTTCCCGGGCAGGGTCTGCTATGGCTTCAGTTGCCTCAGGCTGCTATAACAAAATACGGTTAAGCAACAGACATTTATTTCTCAGAGTTCTGGAGGCTGGAATTCTGAGATCAAGGTCCAGGCCAATTCATTTCCAGGTGTGGGAGGGCCTTCTTCCTGGCTCGCAAGTGGCCGCTTTTCTCTCTGTGTCCTCAGGGGCTGGAGAGAGAGCAAGCTCTATCCTTTCTTCTTCCTATCAAGCCACTAATCCTATCAGAAAGGCCCCACCCTCATGACCTCATCAACCCTAATTACTACCCAAAGGCCCCATCCCCACATTCAGTGGGTGGTGGGCAGCGGAGAGGGCTTCAGCATGTACCTGGGGGGACACAGTTCCGTCCAAAGTACTGAAACTGCTGCGGGGTGTCAGGCGGGACAACAGCTCACATGCAGCAGGAGGCAGCCGCGCTCAGGCTTGTTCACTCCTGCTGGCACCAACTCCAAGTAGAGGCAGCACGGGAACTCAGCTCTGAGCGCAGAGCTGGTTCTAATTCTCAGCACCTCTTTGGTGAGTGACTAAATGACTAAACAGGAAACGGGAGAGGTGAGCAATGAACGAGGCCAGAGTGGGGCCGCTTAGAGGGTCCCAAACAGGAGGTTGAACAGCAGAAACCCTCTCCTCCAACTGGATCCCCACCAGTGGCTGTTAGGTTAATTCAAAAATATATATTTGAAGGCAAGGAACCATTTTTAAATGATACGTACCTCCTACAAACATTTTATTTCAATTTGCAACAGTAAAATGTACATTCGTTCCCGATCTTTTGATGTAAGGCCAAGGCTTTTTCTTCGAGTAAGAGGCAAGTTCAACACAGTCTGCCATAAATGCATTATTTATGACTTTCAGTTTCTGCCTTTTTTAAGCAGAGCAAGAACTTAAAGATATTTGCAAAGCAATGAGAGCACTAGACTTCTAGTTTTTTTGCAATTTCCCCCAAGCTTTAAAAGTTATCTCATCTGTCCTCAATTTAACATGACCCTTCATCTGGTCTTTTCCAAGTATTCATCTTAGTTTTCACAAAGTTTTTTCGTGCTAATTTCGTCAAATTTCATTTTGCTTAAATAAATGTATAATCACAATAAAATGTACGACTGGCAGCCGCAGGTTTGGGAACAAACACAGCTGATTCGTGTTAAGTTACAGCCCCTCAGCCGTCAGGAGCAGAAGTGCCATCTACCAGACGTGAGTGTCTAGAGCATTCTGCGGGCATTTGGCAGGGGGTTTGCAGAGAGTCAGTCAATCCATCAGTTCAGTTAAGAGAGTGTCTACCACATGTAATCCTTTGAGCAACAAGGATTCCCTAGAAACCAAATCAGTGCTTTCCCTGGACAGCTTGGCCGTAGTGCAGAAGAGGGGGAGGGAGCACGTGATCTTGTCCTCAGTCTACCCGGGTTAGTGGTACCTTACCTGCATCACCTCAGTGGGACCCAGCCTCCTCCAACAGCTCACGTCTCATCCAGTGTCAGCAACTGTCAGGATCCCACCCAGGGCCATCGCCGACGTTTGGGTGGGGAATTACTAAACTGCTTTGTCTTATTCTTGCAGCGTCCTGGATGCACCCCTTGTTATCCCCACTCACAGATGAGAAAGTGGAGGCTTAGGGAGGACATGTGACTCGCCCAAAGTCAAGCCACTGGTCAGTGGTAAGGCAGGAACATGGGCCCACCTTCTGTCCACTCCCCCCCAGTGAAAGGACCAGGCCTCAGACAAGGGCTCTGATATGAGCACAGAGATGAAGTAGAAGCTATTGGCGATGGGCAGATTATTGTGGATCCGGGAATCCTCACCAGCATGCAGGCCCGAGTGATCGTGCTAGTGTTACTTGCTGAGACACATGACGGGGTTCCTTAAATGGAAAGGGGTGGAGAGGCGGCCAGGAGTAGGAGCCTCCCGGGCTGGGCAGGGTGAAGTGAGGACAGGAGAGGCAGACTGGGAAACCACCTCCGGAGACACGGTGCCAGGAGGGCGGAGGGGTGACGGGGGCTGTGCGTGGAGCACAAGGGCTGTAGATGCCACTGGGTTCTCCAAGGACAGCGGTGCTGACTGAGCAGGGGCTGTGGGGGAGGCCAGAGAATCAGTGATCAGATGGAGAGCCCGGCCTTGGAGACGATATGCTCCAGCAAAGGCTGGTTAAGATTCCTCGTACCCCTGCTGGGTCAAGGACATGCAGATTTGGCCTCCAGGCTTGTGCTGGAAATTGTCAGCAAATAATTCAGGGAACGTTTGTTCAACACTCACTCTCATTGTTTGCTGAGCTCCACCCTGCCAGGCACGGGCTGTGACGAGACACTGGGGTACAGCTGGGAAGGGGACGGAGTCTGTGCCCCGAGGAGCGTGTACTTGGTGGGGGCAGAGGGGTCTCTGGGCTCCGTCCCTTCACCGCCTGGCTCTCCCCTGACAGGAGGGGTGCAAAGCATTGTGGGAGCACCAGTGCCGGGGTCGAGGAGGCCTCCTGGAGGAAAGGACTTTGTACTCAGACCTGAAAGATGTATGGGAAGTAGTCCGTTCAAAGGGGATTTTAAGAGAAGTAAGAGCTGCTACAACATAGAGGACATTATGCTCAGTGAAAGAAGCAGGCTGCAAAAGGCCACGTGCTGCATGATCCCACTCACATGAGGTTGGAGTCCTAAACTCCCAGCGACAGAAAGCAGAACAGTGGGTGCCAGAGGCCGGGGGTGGGGTAGTTCTTTTTCACCGAGTTTCGGTTTTGCAAGATGACAAGATTTCCAGAGATGGATGGTAGTGATGGTTGCACAACACTGTGAAAGGACTTAAGGCCACAGAGCTGCACACTTAAAATGACTAAGGTGGTCAATTTTTGTTCTGTGTGTTTTACCACAATTAAAAATTAAAGAGAGAAATAAAGGAGGAGCATGAGGCAAGGAAGGCCCCCAGATGAGTCAGAAAGGGGAGTAGTTCCCTGTATTTAGCCCAGAGCTGTGTGGAGCGGGGGGAGGTGACAGTGGCAAGGACTGTTATGAAAGGAAGGCATTTGAGGGGTGGAAGTCGGTGGCTTTCCAAGGTGTTCAGAAATGAACAGGAGGAGCGCCTTGGTGACTGAGGATCAAGTAGAAAGGATCAACATAGACATGTCTTTGCTAGTGGACCATGTGCTCTGATGACAGGTACCGCTGCCCTCCATCCAGGGGCTTGCATTTCAGCAAGAGGCAGGAGTGAGCCACCAGCTGCACGAGGAATACGCACTCACCTGGTTCTTTCCCTCCAGGCCGCCTCTGGAGCAGAGCAAGCCCTTCCGGGGAGCGCCCGCACTGGGGGTGCCCAGCATTTACCAGACCCTCTGGTGCCACAAGGTCCACTGCGTGTCAGCTCTTGCGGAGAAGCTGGATTTGTCCATCATTGGTGATTTGTTCGATTTAAACTCTTACCCAGGAAGAAGGAGGACGTGAAGCTGCCCAGAAATGATACTGATCACATAGCAGTTTCCCTATTCGAGTGCTGCAGAGACCAGGCTGCTAGTTTCTTTTCTTGGCAAATTCTTCTTCCCTGGTTGATCAAGAAGTCTGACTGAGATTCAGCTTTGCCCGACGGGGCAAAGAAAAACAAAACAAGAAGTGATTTCAGCCAACATGGGCTTCTTCCCAAAGCAATTAGAGCTTGGATTTAAGCAAACAAATTGGATTCAAGGTTTTTCCTCCTCGGAGCCATTATTTCATTGAGCGAAGAGAGCACAGGGCGGATGGGCCCTGAAGCAGCTCCACCAGGACCCCGAATATCACTGACAGCAGCTGCCCAAGCCGGGCTGGGAGCAGAGGGAGGGGAAGGGGGTGCTAGTAAGAAAGCTGACAGTTTTGAAGGTTTGCTTTGTGCTAGGCGAGCCCTAGTTAAGACCTTAGATGAATCATCTCACTTCTTTCTAATCTTGCCCCCGGGAATAGATGCTCTTATTGGCCCATTTCACCAACAAGGAAACTGAGGCTCCATGAAGTTAAGTGACTTGCCAATGCTTAACAGTTAACAAAATGGCACACAATGATCCAGAGCCCACACTCCTAACTACCAACTGCAGTGACTCTCAGAGAAGAGGGAATGACATCAGAAGGCCAGTGGCCCTCTCCTTGCACCATCACCTCCAAGCCACGCGCCGTCTCAGAGGTCCCAGCCGTAATAGGAAAAGAACAACACGACACTGCCGGTTACAGATCACTGACTAGGCTCGCCTCTTCATGGACATCATTTAATCCTCAAAGCAGGCTCTCTAGACCCTCTCCAGGCTACATCCCCTGCTTTACAGATGAGAAAACCGGTCATCGTAGAAATTAAATATTTTGCCCAAAGTCACACAGCAACAACAACAACACAAAAAACCCTCACAATTCAAATCTTAGTTCGGCCCCAAACACTGGGCTATTCATCTCTGCCTCTGACTCAGAGCCATCGTTTTGCCGAGAAGACCTTATGGTGAAGGGAACCCATAACTGCAAAGCTCGGAAGTCTCCTAACCCCCAAAGTCCAGCACTTTCCAGGGCCCACTCCCCCTTTCTTTGGTCAGCTCATGACAAGTATCCTACTGAAACGGGCCAAAGGCGCTGTCCTGGCCCCGCCACACCCCCTGGGGCCAGGGTCTGCAGGACCAAGGAGAAGAGTCCTCCCAAAGACTGCACCCCCTTCTAGACCACCCTGCAGGTCCTGGGACCTGGGGATCCCCTGCCTCAGTGGCCCTGAGTCTGCATTCAGAGCCTGTGCAGCACCCCCAGGTCCATCCATCCTTGGGGGACCACTGGTCCCAGCCCCTCGAGGTGGCTAAGGACTAAGATGTTCCCTGGGGTGCAGATACTGGACACGCTGGCTGGGGGGCCGTGCACACGCACGTTAAGGCCCTAGGGGTGCGGGAAGAAGCTAGAGGCCCAGGGAGAAGGAGGGCAAGCCAGGGTCTCGGGGCCGGGGGCTGGGGGCTGAGGCCTGGGGGCTGGCTCCCCGTGCTCTGCCACATTCACCACGGAACTATGAGGACTCTACCCCTTGAGCCTTAATTTCCTCAGCTGTTAAAAGGGAGGGGGCTGCAGTTTGCTCCCCAGATTTCCCCACCTCTGTTTCTGAGTCTTTGAGCCATCAGCCTAACTTGTCCGGACCTCTTTTCCCACTGTGCTTTTTTTTTAATGAACTTTTAAACAGTGGGTTTCTCTCTATTTTAATGAAGTATTCATTTTTAATCCTTGAGTTTTGGACCGTAATTTAGAGTTCAAGCCTGGGGGTTCTAGCCTGCCCACGTGGTCCTGTTTAAACTGAGAGCCCTGCATGAACGTTATTTTGCTGAGGGCGGGTTCCCCCTTTTAACTACTCCCCTGAGGAAAGAAGGCCGTTACGTGAAGTCAGCAGTGTTCAGAACAAAACCTGCCTTATAAATCAAGCCGAGCAGGGTTCTGGATTCCTCCAGGGGCAACTTCCAATTGGTCTGGGCTGGAAGAAAACGAGGCAGAGTTGTGAAACAACGGAGTGGAACGCCTGACTTTGCTGAGCGGGCCATCCCTCCTCCGACCCAGATCTGCCACCAGGGTTTGGTGAGGGTTTGGTGAGTCCAGTCGGAATCCGGGTCTCTAGTCGGTGATATAGAAGCTGGGACTGTCTTCTTTCCTCCTGTCTGGACAACTTAAAGGAGCCTCAGAGCACAAATTTTTTAGGATGCTCTGATAGAAAATAGGGGTCCACCAAGGAGGGACTGTGGTCTTTTCTCCACTCTGGGTGCTCAGGCGGAGGCCGGCTCCAGCTCCTGGAGGCTTGGTCAGGACGCTCTGAGACTCAGGAAGGGGCCATGATCTTCTATACGTTGAGGCCACTCTGTGCTTCCTGAATCCTGAGGCCATACTCTCTCCTCCATCCCACACAGCCCCTCACCCCCGGCTGAGTTCAGGTGAAACCTAGGTCTGCCTTCCCTTCCTCTCAGTTTCAAGATCCCCAAGAGAATATTTTGTAGTTTATCTGCTAGTCTGAAATACTCCAGGCGGTGTCTCACCTTCCTTGACCTCCTGTCCTGAAACACACCTGCCAGCCTCCCTGCTTCCTCCTACCTCTTGTCGGTGGCAGCTCTCACGAAGAACACTAGCATCTCTGCGCATCTTTGTCACCATCAGAGGTTTTACTAAAGGCTTAAGAAGTTTAATTACTGGTTTAGTTTTCCTAGACAACAACACAGCAGGCCCATTTTATTTGGGAGATGTCTCTCTGGTGAAACACAGACAGGAAAACACTAAAAGAAAGATGCAGGCAACAATTGTTTCATTCACTGGGGAGCACTGTCTGGGCTGAATAACAGCCACCCACAGACAGCAAGTTCTAATCCCATGTGCTGTGACCATGACCTTACCGGGAAGTGGGTCTTTGCAGATTTAAGTACAGGAGGGTCAGGAGATGAGGAGATGACCGTGGATTTTTCAGGTGGGCCCTAAATGCCATCACAAGTGTCCTTATGAGAGGCAAAAAGAGATGAGAGGGACACAAGGGGAAATGTGGTGCAAAGGAGAAACAGGGGAGGTCGCAGCCACAAGCCAAGGGCTGCCTGGAGCCGGCCAGAGGTTAGAAGAGGCAAGGACAGATTCTCCCCTGGATCCCGGGGTGAGGGGGTGTAGGGGGAGCAGCCCTGCCAGCAGCTTGATTTCAGACGTCTGACCTCCAGATCTGTAAGAGAATCAGCTTCTGTTGTTTTAAGCCTCCCAGTTTGTGGCTGTTGGTCACAGCAGCCCTAGGCAAGTGAACACAGGCACTAAGGCGTCTAGAATGGGGCACACTTTTCCTTCTCAAGAATGTGCCACCTGGCCAGCACCTGTCTGTTAATTATTTCATTTGTTTGTTTAGTTAACAAATCCTCTACATATCAGGCTCTGTGCTAAGCTCTGGGGACACAAATAGGACTAGGACACTGTCCCTGTTGTCAAGGAGAACACAGTTTAGCAGGAGAAAGACATATAAAGAGATCACTATAAAGTAATGCCTTAAACACAACAGGATAGAAGTCGATGGAGCTCCGCAGGGGCAGCTAATGGATGTGGTCAGGAGGTTTGGCTGGGATTCCTCGGGGAGGGGGAGGCCTGGGCAGTGGGAAGGCAGGCAGGGCAGGGCCGGTGGGAGGTGGGGCCAGGTGGTGTGTGTGTGTGGAGGGGATACGGGTGTGAGAAAAAATGTGGGGGGGCGTGTGCACTCTTCTGGGAGCCACAGTCCCCTGCCTGAGAAGTGCCCCCTCTTAACGTTTCTCATATTGAGTTCTTCCAGCAATAAATGACCCAGGTTTTGTTTTTCTGATAAAGACTTCTCTTCCTTTTTTGAAAGATATTTGCCATGGGTATAGAATTCTGGATTGAGAGGGGGTTTTGTTTTCCCTTTCAGCCCTGGTTTATTTGGTTTCTGACAAGAAATGTGCTGTTCATTTTATCTTTCTCCTCTGAATTGAATGTGTCTTCATTTTCTGGCTACTTTCAAGATTTCCTCTTTTGTTTTGGGTTTTCAGAAAAGTAGGACAAATATTATTACGTGTTTTTGAAGTGAAGATTGTTGAGGCTTCGAAAGGTAACTGGCCCAAAGTCACAACACTAGAAATTGGCTGAGTGAGGACCAGAGCCCAGGCCTTTGGACCCATCCTGGAAGCAACGAGTATAGGTCACCTGTTGAAAGTGTCCTCCAATGAAAGAAAGCCAGAAATCAACTTAGTAAAGTCAACATTTAAAAAGGTATTTGTATACCCTGGAAGTAAATGTAGTGGATTGTACGGGAAGAGCAAGGATTCCAGGAAGGCAGTGCCAGCACCTCCTTCTTTTCCTCTTTTTCTTTATTCCCTAGTTGGCCAGTGTGTGTTTTTTTCCCTAAGGATTATTCTGACTTCCTCCACTCCACAGGGAAGTGGCTGTGCTCTGACAGAGCTCACTCCTGCACATAATTTGGTCCCCGGGAGGGTACCCATCACAAGTTTTCCCCCGACTCCTTGACACAGGAAGGTGTGTGTCAGCACGTCTGCCGGGGCGCTCCCCACCCTGCCCGGGGAGCAAGTTTGCCGCGGGGAGAGCAGACCTCAGCGAGGACAGTGGGCAGGTGCACCTGGCTCTGTGTTGTGCAAGCCCCGTCTCCCTGAGTTACCCACAGACTGGTTATTCAACGCTCTTTAATCACATGGATCAGTGGTTACAAGTACTGTCTATCAGGAATTACTTGACTGATTAAGAGCCGTCTTCTGATTCCTCTAATAGAGCTGTCCTTTAGGCAACATGCTTACAGAAACTATTGCTGTAAAATGTCCAGAATTCTCCAAAAAAAAAAAAGCTTACATCATGTAAAAAGTGTTGGGCAGATTATGACAACCAAATGAAGCATATAATCCTCAATTGCATCTTAAATCCAAAATATAGCTGTAAAGGACGCTCGGGACTTTGGACCCAATAATGCTATCGTGCCCGTGAGCAGGTTCTGGGATGTGGTACTGGACTTGCGGCTGGGCAGAGGTCCCCGTGCTGAGAAGCCTCGTGGTGAAGTCGTAGGGGTGAGCGTTGCAGTGACCAGTCACGTGTTCATTGC